CACATCAAAAACAGATTCAACAATCCATCTGGGAAAACCAAGGTCAGTTTGCAGCCTTGAACAGAACTAGTCGGGGGAGGAGGGCAGTTCTCTGGGTGAGGTCTTGACAAAGCTTGTTCTCTACGTGACTAAGCAGTTCAGTCACCTGGTGTGCCCAGCTAGGGCAGAGAGAGGAGAGCCTTGTCCGTGGGTGCTCTGGGTGTTCAGAAGACGTGTTAGAGCTTCCATCTCCTGTGCCCCTCCCACCTCCATCCTGCCTTGACAGATGGCAACTTCTGTGCTACTGTGAATTGTCACATCTGCCCTTCCCTGAGAGGCAGGCCTTGCCCTGAGACCTCTCTCACACGAGCAGTCCTACCCCCATGTTCATCAGCTAGACGCTGTCAGACCCTACCACACGCTGACCCGCAGAGGCAGACCAGCATGCTCTGTGGGGCTCAGAAGGCTGAAGGAGACAAAGCCCGCCCACCGCCTGAACAGGAAGTGATGGAGCCGCTGGCACGAGGGGCCCTTTCTCAAAGGCGCTGCAGGAGAGGGAAAGAGCACTGGCCTGGGAGTTAGGGGACATGTGCAGGTCGGCTCTGTGGCCTTAGGCAAGTCACTTAACCTGGAAACCTTTGCTCTCTCTACCCCTCAGAGCTGGAGCTGTGGGGAGCAGCAAATCAGAAAATGGGTTGAAAGGGTTCTATAAAATACACAGGATAATAAAAATAACAGCAAAATCATCCTCTTCCTCCTCTTTGATGATGTATTTCTTTCTATTTTACCACCTAGAGAATCTTGAAGAATGAAATTGTTTATAAGCCCTTGCTTATCAGACTTTCAAATTAGTCCCCCTTCGGCCTACCTAGACGTCCCCCCCCGGAAAATCTATCGTGGAATGAACTCTCAGAAACCACCCACAGTCAGTTCAATTAGCCAGAGGATTTTATTTACAACGGGTTAGCTTTATTTTTTGCAAAGAAATACATGTGTATTTTCTACAGAGACATGCATGTGCGTGTGCACACAGCAAAAGGTAAGCAAGAAGGGGTGTCAGAACTCTGAAATCTAACCAGTCTTTCCAGAGAAACATGGGCGGGGTGCAGGATCAAAAGCAACTTGTTTAATTCAATTTGGCTTAGGCATGGAAAGAGGAGAAGCACTTGGTCTTGGGCTCCTCAGTATAGTTTTTTTTTTTTAATACCTTTTTTTTTTACATTTATTTTTGATAGATAGAGACAGAGCATGAACTGGGGAGGGACAGAGAGAGACAGGGAGACACAGAATCCAAAGCAGGCTTCAGGCTCTGAGCTGTCAGCACAGAGCCTGACTCAGGGCTCAAACTCAGAAACCATGAGATCATGACCTGGGCTGAAGTCGGAAGCTTAACCGACTGAGCCACCCAGGCGTCCCCTTACTATTGTTTTTACACCACTGTTTTGATAGAAAAGTGCTATCTTTTTGGTCACTGAGGGCGACTCATCTGTTGTTGGTAGCTCAAAAGATACAATCATGGACATAATACAAAACACAGAACTTGGAAGAAACTTCCAGATTTACTCTAATTGAACTCTCACAGTTTGCACGTAAGGAAAGGGCGGCCCCCAGGAGAATGCTTTGCTGGAGACCTCGGAGACCAGGGAGACCCGAGCCCCGCTCTGCACTGCGCCTCCAGCTCTGTCCCCTGCCATGTGCCTGCCGAGGGGCTGCAGTGGCCCTTTCCCAAGGCAGGCAGGAGGCAGCGAGTCCGACAAGGGGCGCTGCCTTGGCCTCTTCTCAAGCTCCTCCTAGGGTAGCTTGCTCCGATGCACCAGGGGTCACCAGGGTGCAAGTCCCCCTGGTCTGGCCCAGAAACCAAGGTGCCTGGAGCTGAAAGGCCCATCTGTTGTGGCCGATCCAGGCAAAGGAGACACGGCACAAAGCAGCGGTTGCGGCGCAGACCCTCTCCCGCCGGACAGGACAGCCGTTTTATCACCTGCAGCTGCAGTTGCTGCCTCCCTTGGGGCCCCGTCCACATCCCCTGCGGTGCAGCCCGCGGTGTCAAAGCCCCCCTGGCCCCTCTCACAGCCCAGGTGGGAGGCACCAAGCCTTTCAGACTCAGGCCGCTTTCAGTGGCTCTTGTGAAATCTATGTGTGTCCTTCCCATTAGCTCTGGAGGAAAAGTCGTCGGCCTGCTGCCGAGGCCTTCGAGGCTTTTCCTCCAACCCAGCTAACAATATCTGGCTCCTGAGTGCCCCAGACACTCTGATTTGGGAGTGACGAATCGGTCACAAATGTCTAGGGGCCCTTGGTCTCACCACTGTGTGAAGAGCAAAGACAGCAAGCCTCACATGAGTAAAACCGTGATCTGCTCCCAGTGGTCCTGGGCCAAACAATCTAGTTTACTAGCAGATGCTAGTGCTCCAGAGAGGAGAGCGCAACGAGTTTAGAGGGAACAACGTCCACGCTGTCGCCGCGCCTCGTGCTCCCCTCTCTACCCCCAGCACCCACTGCTTGGCACGGCAAGCTCCCTGAAGGCCCAGCTCTGGTGACACGCTCCATGTTCTGTGTCCACAGATCACAGTGCTAACTTCTTGGCCAGACACTGCTCTTTGGTCCAGAGCCAGCTGATTCACCCAGGCCACAGACAAGGAAGGGGTCTCCAGGCTGTGCCTGGCCCACGGGTGACAGCATGCTTTGCCTCTGCCTGTGTGGGTCTTCCACCTGTCACCTCCAATCCGGGGGAGGGGCGGACAGGGGCCCAACACCCATTCCTTAGACACTTGGCCACAGGAGGGGTGCTTGTGATAATGCTTGGCACAGGCCCCCGCCACCCTCAGGCAGGGTGGCCTGAGTGGAGGGAAGATGATTTCCATAAAGAGTTTCTCTGCAAAGGAAATTTTACAACTTCACCCTCTTGCCCATCCTTCTAGTGGTGGTTCTCAATGGGGAGGGCAGGGGGTGCTTTTCTTCCCTAGGGGACACTTAGAATATCTAGAGATGTTTTTGGTTATCACGACTAAGAGGGAGGGGGTGCCCCGACGACAAAGGACTGTCCAGTCCCCGAAGTAAATATGCTAAGGCTGAGAAACCTTGTATTTGGGGAACTAACAAGAAGCAAAATGGACTCCACTGTTTCCTTTCTATGGGTGATGCCGGCAAACAGTGAAATACCTACCTTAAGTGCTGAGGACAGAAAAAGATCTGCTAGCCTGAATACCCATAAACTGACACGATCAAAGGGAGTCACTCACTCCTGCTTCGGGGTTGCTCACAAACAGCCTAGATGGCAGTCTGGGCTTCCCGGCACATGCTGCTTTCTGCTGCTGACTTCCAATTATGGGCTGGCTATCCAGCGCGGGGCAGCTTGGCCTTCCTGTGGGGGCAGCTGAGTTTGGAAAACCGAGTCAGGACTGCTCGCCCGGCAAACATATCTCGAGCACCTCCCTGCCTTGGCCTGTGTGAGCACCAGGGACACAAAGAAATGACGGAGTGGCTGTCCTCAAGGAGCTCCGAATCTAGTGGGGACGCACAGTAGTACACAAATAATTTCCGACACTCACTCTTGGCTGGGCTGATCTCACTTCCGTTCTCCTTTAAAAATCATTCTAGGAAGGGAGACAATAAAGCGGAAAAGAAAACAGGGGAGCCACACTGCTGATTAAAATCTATATCGCTGCGGCAGCCCCTCTGAGACAAGCTCAGCTCCTGGGTTTGCACCAGCTGGGCTTGTGAAGCTTGTAAATAATTAAAAGGTAATTGGAAGGGAGACCGAAGTATTAAGTGGATTTTTCGCTCTCAGGGCAACCAGGGAGTTTCACTGCTGCCAGTCACATTATCTTCGGGGATTATAGTCTTGTTTTGCACTGGCACATGCAGCTCCAGATAGCAGCTGGAGGAGGAAACCGTGGGCTGCCTGGACGGCTCCGAGAGGCTTGGGGATGGGAGGACACAGAGACGCAAAACTTCCGATTACCTTTGTAGGCAAACCAGCAGTAACATGCACGCTACTAGGACAGCAGTGAGGCTTTAGAAGGTAGAGGAAGAGGAAGGGAGAGAGAGAGAGGGATGGGTGTGCCAGGGGCCAGGGGGAAGAGGGAGAGAAACACAGAATAGTACCTGCTGGGGGCTGCCATTATAGCTCAGCCTAAGATAAAGAGGAAGATTTCATTCCCGGGTCTCCATAAAGGAGTGGACACAGAAACCGAGAGACACACAATTAGACACAGGCAGGGTCCCAGGCAAGAGGCTGGTGGGAACAGCTCTGTTATGTCCTGAGGGTGATGAAGGTAGAGCTACACAGGTTGCTGAGGACCTTCTAGAGAGGCTGGCTTTCTGGCAATGCTTCCTGACTTGGCTGGTGAACCCATTGCTGTGACAGGATATAAAGCCAGGAAGTTGAGTCACTTGGCTCAAGACTCAGTCCCGCCAGGGTCCAAAGTGGAGATGTTTGGAGTGGGGGGTGGAGGTGAGAAGGAGAGAAGGACAGAGAAGTGAGAAGATGCATTATAAAGCGGGCGCCCACACAGAGTGCCCCAGACCAAGCCAGGGGGTGCAAAACCCAGAGGCAATGGATAAGAAAAAAAGAGTTAGCCTTTTCCTTTTCACGGATCATTTCAGATCCTCTCAACAAATTCTGAGGGACTTCTAGTCTTTTACTGGCCTTCTCACTCTCTGCAGGACTAGGTATGCCAAGAAGAAACCTGGTTTAAGCGATGTCCAAAGCTGCTATACGGCTAAGAGAAAGTACGTGTGAATTTGAAATAACACCAGAGAGGCCAGTTAATCAGAAGGGAGCAACAAAAATAAGGCAGGACCAAATCTGGATTGACCATTCCATTTCTCTTCTGCCAAGGCCCTCTCCGCCCTCTCTGATTTGGCTGTCAACTACTCTGTGAGGGCCGGAACCACTCAGGAGTAAGTGCCTCTTGCCGTCCCGGGCTAAGATGCTGGCCCTCTGCAGGGAGAATGGCGACATACACAGTAAACGCTCAATGAATATTCACTGAGCTGAAAAACTGAAGAGACTGCACACTCACCCCTCTTCTGCATAAAGACGAAGAGGTCATCCAGGAACTCTTTCCTTTCCGGGTCACCATCCAGTTCATACAGCTGCAATCCCGGTCCCCCAGAAAAAAACACAATGAAAAATTCCGTCTAATGCAGGAAGTCTTCCACCAGAGACACACAACCATCTATCTGTAGGACCACAAATGTGATCCACGGGCCATTCCTGTCCTTATTCCTTGGGGATCAGATTTAACAACCCACTGCAGTGCGGCCCCATTCATTACCACAAAGGAGACGTTACAGACCTTGGCAAAATCTCGAGAGATCTCTCTTCCCCGGCCTCCGTCCGCATCATCACTCCAGGCCAAACCACCATTCTAAAGGAGAACAAAGCACAGAGTTCAGAAGGGAATAGGAGACAGTGACAGAGGACTAGGCAATCTTTTGGAGCGAAGACGAAGACCCTCAGCAGTTGTGCTATCTTGGCTCAGACTGTACGAGACTGCTCAGGTAATGGCCTCTGAAGCTCTTACAGGGAGATCTTGTTCTCTTGCTTTCAGTTATGGTTCCAAAGTAAGAGGGAGTCAGGGGGAAGAATCCGGTTCAGCTGGAGGGAGGAGGGTGGGTGTTACTTATCCTTGATAATCCTGGAAGAGGAGGACACAAAGGCCCAACTTTCTGAGAACCTGTGCACCCCTAGCTGGTCCTCCAGAAGCCATCGCTCTGAGATGTGCCACTTTTCCTCAGGTTCTGTACGGCATACATGTTTGTGTGATTTTACGGCATGTCTGTCCACTACACAGTATGTTGTAAAGCTACATGACCGCTCTCAGTGGAGGATAAATGATCACAGAGAGCAGGCCCTGCAGTTCTGGTCTCTCCACTAAGCCTCACCACTAGAAGCTGGAAGTCTAGTGACCAGAGCTCCCAAGTGATATGACAGCCTTGAGAGCTTGACGTTATTCCCGAGGTATACAGACTGTGCCCCCAGGATGAAATTCATTTCTATTAGAGAAATAATGAAAACCTAATCCTAATTTAATTGATTAGGTTAAACCAACACCATTCAGCCAATTAAGAGGAAATGGCAAATATGCCTTTGTTTATGTTCTTGGAACCCGCTTCCTGCCTTTATTCAGTTGGGTAAGTCTTACTCCTTAGATTAGGCAACACATTCTGGGGGAAGCCTTCCCTTCACCCCCAGCTGCACTAAGTACTCTGAAAGAAATCTCTGTACATTTTGAGCTTAGACTTTAACATATTTTGGAATTATCCATCATCCTCACCATATCATAAGCTCCTTGAAAGAAGTTTTTCATCCATCTTTGTAGACCCAGCACAGAGCACAATGCCAGCACTTAGTGGGCCCCAGAGAATGCCTGACGAACTATAATCATTGCTAAAAGGCATCAACTGGGGCACCTGGATGGCTCAGTTGGTTAAGCGCCCGACTTCAGCTCAGATCATGATCTCAACAGTTCGTGGTTTGGAGCCCCACGTCGGGCTCTGTACTGACAGCTAGCTCAGAGCCTGGAGCCTGTCTTCGGATTCTCTCAGAGAGAGTATCTCCTGTATACAGGAGCCTGTATCTCCCTCTCTCTCTGACCCTCCCCTGCTCATGCTGTCTCTCTCTCTCTCTCTCTCAAAAAAAAAGCATTAGGGGCGCCCGGGTGGCTTAGTCGGTTAAGCGTCCGACTTTCGCTCAGGTCATGATCTCGCGGTTCGTGGGTTCGAGCCCCGTGTCGGGCTCTGTGCTGACTGCCAGCTCAGAGCCTGGAGCCTGTTTCAGAGTCTGTGACTCCCTCTCTCTCTGACCCTCCCCTGCTCATGCTGTCTCTCTCTCTCTCTCTCTCAAAAAAAAAGCATTAGGGGCGCCCGGGTGGCTTAGTCGGTTAAGCGTCCGACTTTCGCTCAGGTCATGATCTCGCGGTTCGTGGGTTCGAGCCCCGTGTCGGGCTCTGTGCTGACTGCCAGCTCAGAGCCTGGAGCCTGTTTCAGAGTCTGTGACTCTCTCTCTCTCTCTCTCTCTCTGACCCTCCCCTGCTCATGCTGTCTCTCTCTCTCTCTCTCCTAGAAATAAATAAAACATTAAAAAAAATTAAAAAAATAAATAAAAAGCATTAAAAAAATAAAATTAAAAAAAGGCATTAACTGGCTATTTGAATCAATTAGGCACCCCTTCAAAAAATATACACACATACTGCACAGAAGAGTCAAAAAGGCCCTCTGCTAGTGGGGAACATGAAATGTCATGGTAGAAGTCTACACTGGTCAGTGGAGGACCCAGTGGATGGGGCTAGATGCAGCAGGCCTGTCACTCTCTCATCGCTCCCCCAGGGCTACAGGTGCATGCGTGAGCACTGGGGTGTGGAAATGGTTGGGGAGGGACTTCTGGGGATGAGGGGCAGAGGTTTCCTGGGAGGACATTCTTTGGACTGCATAGGGATCTCACTGTAAAACTTTGTCAATAACATAAAAGCCTGGTCTAATTCCCTTCTTTCCTATCTTCCCCTCTAATCAAGCTTGCCTGAATGCAGGAGGTATTATTCAGTTATATTTTGGGACCATACTTTGCCTCCCCTACTCAAAGAGGGCTCGGAGATGTAGGCCCGCTTCCTGATAGCAGCAATTTAGTACATAGTGAGGTAAGTATAACCAAGAAGTGACACTCTGTCAGCTGAAATGAAACAGGCTACACCAAATTGTTTCCCCGCTTATCTCACAAGAGATGTGTGTAAGGAAGTGCTCAGTAAATGCTATCTGACTGTGCACTCATCATCTCCCCAGGCAGACATTGTTAGAGATCTCCCTATAGCTCCTCAGCTCAGGGAGGCCAATAACCAAGTGGGAGAAACACTATTTTAAAAAAAAGAAAAAGAAAAAAAGCTAAGATTCACCCCCACATTGTAATTACAGTCAACAGAAATCTGGTATCATCTGGTGGCAACCAGTACAATGAATAATCAAGATGAATTATGCCTGTCAGGTCAGCAAAACCAGACAGAGTTACAGTCCCCCTTTCAAAAGATGCAGTAGGTTGCCCTAATGCCCGGTGATTTTGTTTGAGCCAGTAATTCCTGCTGGAAAGTCAATTATCCCCGGAGCCCCTATCGGCTGCAAGACATTTAATGGGGGATCATTGCCGCTTCTGTTATGTCAGCTGTTTACTGTGGCAGCTCAATTCCCAACTCTCCGGCTAGAGATCTGAAGCTGATTCTGTTCACAGGAGGATTCTTTCTCTATCAGTCACCAAGAGAGATGAAAACACAGTTTTTTGCTAATTACAATAACTTCCAGGCACTCCGAATGCGCACTCAGAAACTATTTAACACTCAGCTGGGTGAGAAGGACAGAATCCACAACCTAAAATTCAGACAGGGCTTTCCACAGCAGGAGAGGAGTGTAAAAACAAGCACACCAGTACAACCACCGTGTGACTATGTGTGAAAATAAACACCCAAGTGTGAGAGAGCTCAGCTCAAGAACAGAGGAGAAGGCCTTGGAGGGTGGAGCCTGGGGGCTGTCATGACCCCTTGGCTTTCTCCAGCTCTGCTCAAACTAGACATCAGAACCTGAGCGGTGGGAGGGTCAGGCCCCGCACTAGCTAGGGCTTGCTAAATATGAAACACTTACAAATCTGCTTAGCTACAGGATTTTAGCCTGGAACATCCCTAGCTCAGTGATCACAGAAGACAGGACATTTGCCAGAACGAGACAGAAAGAGGGCACTCAACTCTTTGGGCGAAGTTACCATCTGACCCATTCCACAGATAGGAAGTTTAGTTATGATTTAAAGAAAACACAGGAAGGGAACAGGAAGGGTGGCTCAGTTGGTTAAGGGTCCAACTCTTGGTTTTGGCTAAGTTCATGATCTCACGGTTTGTAGGAGAGAGTCCCATGTCGGCTCGACACTGATAGCAGGGAGCCTGCTAGGGATTCTCTCTCTGTCCCTCCTCTGCTCACTCATGTGCAAGCATGTGCATGCAGTGATCTCTCAATAAATAAATAAACATTAAAAAAAGAAAGAAAGAAAGAAAGAAAGAAAGAAAGAAAGAAAACACAGGGGAAGAGTTGCCCAGGAGTGGAGGTGTTTTCTTTTGTCTAAGGCTGGGATGGGCCATCACTTAATCTAAAATACTCAGTTGCAGCTAATAAGGAAATGTCCGCTCTCTTTACATGACATGTCTCTCTTGATGTTGGGGCAGTTAAACCCTGCTTCACAAGGTTTTCTGGTTGAAGTAAGAGTACTTCTGGCCCTGCCTGCCCTTCGCAGTCTAGCCGGAATGCTGTTTCCTCCACGAAGACTCTTGCTTCTGTCCACCAGGCAGAACTGATGCCTTTCTCCTCTGGGCTATCACCAGGCGTGCTGGTTACCTGTGCCCCGCCTACAGCCCCAATCTGTGCGTGTCCCCCAGAGTCTGTGCGCATCCCATCAGCGTATCCCCCAGCCTCCAATACTGAGAAAGCATGGGCACGTTTACTGAAAGGCAGGAATGGGCTCCCCCATGGGATCTCGAACCCCACAACTCCTCTGTTCTCCTCTCATCCTCTCATGGGGAGGGCCACAGTCTTCAGTATTCTGATCAACTACTATAAAACATCGCTCACTTCAAGTTGATGTGCAGGTTTCTGGGCCTCTCACCAGGCTATGGGTGTGACTGCTGGAAGCCCAGCAATGATTTCTTTCTTAGAGGCTGAGCAGGGCAGGGAGGAGAGTGGAGGCGTGGCAGAGGTAAGTGTGGGGAACACACATCCAAAAGGAGCTAGCTCCACAGTTCAGGGGGGTCCCCGAGAAAAGCATTTCAGTTAAAAGGCTGCGGCATGCAAGGCATGCCAGTCTATGGGCCAGGGGACCTGGCTCTGTTACTGTGAGGGCCACAGGCAGTAGCCAATGGTCACTTAACTGCCATTTACAACCTTCCCAGCCTCTCCTACTTCAGGCTTCTCTTAACAGCTTTGATCTCACCAGGAGCTCACAGGAAACTGGCAGTTTGTTCCCAAATACCCATCCAAGGCTAGCTGTGGCTGCTATATCCACATTCAGCTAACTTTCCCCAGGGAAGCTCAGTATCATGCCTTTAAATCCCTCAAAAATGGAAGTGGAAGAAGGCTGGAGGAAGGAGTAAGGGGAGCAGAACACTAACGCTTGGGCAAGGACTGGGCCAGGAGCGTAACCAGCATTTTCTCACTGAAGAGTATGATGTAGGGGTGGTTAATTTAGAGATGGGAAAAGAGCAGCTCGAAGAGCAAGCTGCTCAAGTGGCCTAGGGTCTGAGAGTTCCCAGTGGCAGCGCCAGCATGCAAATGCAGGTCTGGCTCTCTTGGTTACGCTGTCCTGCCTTGTGGGTGGAAGAAACAGCAGAGAGTGTTCTGGGTA